AAGGCTCTTTGTAAAGTTCAGATGGTCCAGCATTGGAATCAGCACCAGACTGCACCTCAAGGGCAGGCTGCTGATCAGACTTGGGCTCCTTAGAGGGATCCTCAATGATTCCTTATCCAACGGTTCAGCCTCCCTTGCTGTAGACAGTGCTGATAATTGCTTTACGCCCCTTGCTTGTTTCCCTGCAGGTGAAAACAATGCTGCACAAAGTGGCCTTTCTTTTCACTTCGCAAGCACACTTTCTCTCTCAACCTTTTCTCCCATTATTGCTTGCTGATTTGGAGATATCTCCATGGTTCAGTTGAAGTATCCTCCGAATTGGCAGGGATCTTAGCCCCTTGGGGATAGTGAACTTGTGACTTCTTCACTGAATTGTGGTTGGATCCCTTGTTAGTTATGCCAGACTTTTTCATGGCATTTAGTTGTTAGTTATGGCAGACTTTTTCATGGTATTTAGTTTTCATCTTCAAATTCTTCAGAACCCAAGGCCAATGAAGAGCAGCCCTTGCCGGACCCACCTCTAGGTTGTCATCTAGATTTGAAGCACCCGCATAGGACCGGTCCTCAGCCTTCACCTGCTCGTGCCGCAAGGCGGTTGCTGCCTCTATGCCACCTGCAAGAAAAAGGCCTCTTGACAGCAAGTGTGCTCGTGAGGTTGATTACTTCTAGCTTGACTACGTCTCTCATGAGGGTGCGCTAGTCTGGGAATGGCTGGGTTCCAAGTCGGCGAAGATAGTATTCAGGGATTGTACTGCAAACAGCGTCTAAACTGGTAGTGTTCTTCATGTGAAGGCCAGGAGTAGTCAAAGCTTTACCAACTCTTGCTCCAAGGCTTTCATTGTGCCCACCCACTGCTCTCTCGTGTCATAGATCTTTTCTCTAGCCTTCATGGCAGAATGTGGATCCCTATATTGTTTGATCAGAAGTTCTTCTGGTACAGTCACAGGAGTGACCTTCAGCCACTTGGGCAAGTCAGGTCTAGAATATCCTGCCTCTACAGAGTGACGTTCCAAGAAGCTCCTCACAGGGGACTCCACATGGGAGCCAATGATCATCGCTTGAGAGGTTTGCGGTGTCGGACTCACCTCAAAGCATATCCTCATTTGGGCTACCCATGAGACTCTGTCATCCTTCCCATCATATTGTGGGGGAATTTGCACCACCCTCTTTTCCACTTGTGGACTGCTGTAGGTAGGACCAACAATCGCTGATCCTTCACTTGGACCTGCAATATTTGCACATTCCGGCACTGTCACTTGTTGCAGCAAACCAGGATCTGCAACTGCTGCAGTTTTGACTCCACTGATTATAGCATTCATAGAGTAGAGAGGGACATTGACAGTGGACACAACAGCAGCACTAGAACCATTAGGCAAGGGGGTTGTTGACTTCAGCCTGTTGCAGATCTGCAAGTTTCTGCAGCTGGTCATGTTGCTCCTCGGCCATCATCACTTGGTCAACTCACAGTCTCTCCACTTCATCAAACAAGTGGGATACCGAATTGGGTAGGTCCTCAAGAGACCGAACTTGTACTAAGGCTCTAAGGAGTGGGGCTATCTTCTCTTTAACTTCCTCATTGACTAGTGCAGGAACAGTCTTAAAGATGGCAGCAAGAGCATCTTTCCTCCTGCTCTCCTTTGCGTCCTCCCTTCTTTAGGGCATTCACTATAAGCGGTTCATAGTGTGCTCGATCTTCCTCCTCTGCTGCATCCCTCAGAGCCGTCAGTTGATCTGAGGTCATTGCCATTGCCATGTTAGAGGGTTGGGGACTGGAATAGGATTCAGTAGATCTCTCAAGGGGAGTGCTACCTTCTTTTCTTTCTAGATGAACACTCCTTTTCCGAGTCTTCATCCTCTCAAAAATGCTACTCTTTTTTTCCCACCTCTCTCTCTCTCTCTCTCTCTCTCTCTCTCTCTCTCTCTCTCTCTCTCTCTCTCTCTNTCTCTCTCTCTCTCTCTCTCTCTCTCTCTCTCTCTCTCTCTCTCTCTCTCTCTCTCTCTCTCTCTCTCTCTCTCTCTCTCTCTTCTGACACCACGTCTCTATGGGCATCGAGCTAACTCGAATGAAGAATTAGTCGAGCACAAGGACAGAGGATAGAACTCCTAGCTGGAGCAGCAATTCATTTGGACTGGAGAATGAAGAACAGCAATAACAGATAATCACAACAATAATAGAGGTCTGACTTAACTACCCGGTCTGGTCAGATCACACATGAGATCCATTCTTACCTAATCTAACGCAGATCAAGAAAGAATAGATAGATCAGAATCAGGAAATGATACAGATGAGGGTCCCTCTAAGGAGCCTAAGTCTGATCAGCAGCCTGCCCTTGAGGCCCAATCTGATGCGATTCCAAGGCCGGACCATCTCAAGTCCATTACGAAGAGCCTTTGGAGGAGTCTCACAAGGTAGACCTCTATTACCACTTCACTGGACCAAGATCAGATAAGGTCGGGCCCAAGGGGGAGTGGAGATGATCTACTTCAAGCTCCTCGTTAACCGCCCTTACATCCGTGCGTTGATTGATTGTGGTGCAACTGCTAACTTTTTTTCTTCGTGTGGGATTCGTAAGGTGGCTTTGGCCTTCCAACTTGGCCATGGTGGAGAGGACCAAGGACGAGCATCCCGGGAAAGAGGAGGAGGAAGACGGTGAGCAACGGGGAGATTGATGGGGAGCCTACCTGACTATGGCGGTCTGTCTGTGTCTGGACCTGGAAGGCCCAAGATGGGGATTGGCACCTACAAGGAAGACTCCGGGGGTAGTGCTAGGCATGGCGGACATAGTAGGAGGAAAACATTAGCTTTACGTTGTCCTTCGTTGTCCTTTAAACATCAGAGCTTCACTCCGATAGTCTGTCGTAGCCACCTGCTCGACCAAGTAGGAGGAAGGTGTACCTCTTGAGTGGCTGGCAATAAGGAGAGGATTGGGACATTGGTTCTGGTTCATTCTTTCATTGTTATTATTATTGTAATGAAGAGATGGGTGAGTAACTGGAGGTTGAAGATGGTGGTGAGATGAAGGGGGATTGTCATTGGTCTTTGCTGGTGTTCATCTTCTTTCTCTCTTTCAATTCTTATTTCTTCCTTTGTCTATTTCTCTTCCCAAGTTCTTTCATTTCCATTGCAATTGAACGACATTGTCTTTCTTTGAGTTGTCGCACAGCAAGATAGCCAGGATCATAACATAGAAAAAGAAGTCAATATACCTGTCCAGCAGGCCACGACAGTGGTCTGAGAGGGACTACCGTGATAGGGCCCACTTTCGTTAATAGACTTTTTAGAGTTAGAATAGGGAGGAAGGTTGCTTTTCTCGGGAATTATACTAGGTAGGCGAAACAAAAGCAGGGGTGGAGCGGTAGTACATCCTTCCTGGTCGCAGGAAGTAGTCAATGCTGCCCTATCAGGGGCCCTTGACCATAAAGAAACCATTGTGTGTGTAGAGGATGTGAGGGACACTGAGCCCTTTTTCACACTGGGCCCCGGGGTTGTCGGACCCCGCCTATGGCCGACGCCAACCACAGACTGTGGTAGGCGAGCCGACCCGTAGGCGGACTGGTCGGCAGTCTGTAGAGGGTCATCCACTGTTTTTTTTTCAAATCTGAGTTCAGGGCTGCACTGTGTTTGCTGAGTACAGCCCAAATCCTCTGAGAAACTTTTGGGGATCGGAAGGGGTACGGGGGATTATGTCGGGGGGCATAGGGGTTTCATAGGGGGGTTGTAGAGGGTTAAGGGGGGGTATGAGGGTGTTGGGGGGTGGTATGGGAGTGTTGGGGGGGGGTATGGGGGTGTTGATGGGGTTATTTGGGGTTTTGGACCCTTCTTTTTTTTCTTTTTTCTTTTTGCGGGGTGCCGACCGACCCCCAACCGGTAGGGGCCGACCAGTCCGACAGTCAGCTGGTCAGCCCCCGACCAATCCAGGGGCGCCGACCGTCGGCGTGACTACTCTGCTGGACCCCTTCTTTTCTTTCTTGTTCTTTTGTTCTCTCAATTCATCTTTCAGTACCTACCTACCACTACTCCTAAGGCATGACAGGGGGCTGGACCCCTTTTCAGTCTTTTCAAATAAAAAGGAAAAAAAACTTTCTAATTTCTAAACCCATTTGGATCCCTTGTCTCACCCTTACCATCCCCCCAACTTGACTTCCGAGTTAAGAAAAAGGCAGGTTCTGCATGTTCTCCACAAACCCATTCACACAACACGAATTGGAAAAAAGAAAGAAAAAAGAAATTTCTTTAATTCTCAGGCACTTCCAATGCTGTGGAGGCATCAACCTTGACACATGGCTCCTTTTCGTTCGTCCATCGAAGGTTGCACGGGCATCCACCTTGACATGTGGCTTCTTTTGGTTCGTCCTTTGATTGGTGAGCGGGTGGTCCACTTTGACACATGGCTCCTCGTTTGTTCGTTTGAATGCGGGCGTTTAGGTTGACATGTGGCTCCTTTCCATTCGTCCATTGATGGTTACGCGGGCATCCGCCTTGACAAGTGCCTCCTTGACATTAGTCCATTCATGGTTATGGGGCATCCACCTTGACACGTGGGTCCTCGTTCCTTCGTTCGTATGCGGGTGTCCACCTTGACACATGGCTCCTTTTCGTTCGTCCATTGATTGTGCGGTTATTTTTATGAAAGATGAACAAATCATAACATGCCACGTGACCACATGGCATGTATGGATGCCAGGCGTGTACGTTATCTAACACATTGACACCATGCATGATTCAGTGTTGACGATTCTTTTTTTCTTTTTCCAGCGATCAACTGCGAGATCTGGGAGAGAGAGAGAGAGAGAGAGAGAGAGAGAGAGAGAGAGAGAGAGAGAGAGAGAGAGAGANAGGAGAGAGAGAGAGAGAGAGAGAGAGAGAGAGAGAGAGAGAGAGAGAGAGAGAGAGAGAGAGAGAGAGGACCAACAGTTATGCCCAAAAATAAGCACAGGCAAGGAAAACGGCATCGGGGGTCAGGATATAGTGCAGATGGAGATAAGTTTCATGGTTTGACCTTGGTCAGAAAGCCATGTCCAAAAACGGCCTTTGGAAGTGGGAGCCCTGCGGACAACAGCATTGCCGGCCAGTAGACAGCATGGAACCGTAGAATGTCCTGGACATGAGAATATATGACAACAAACATGCCAACAGCATTGGGATGAGAACGAGCGCAATAGATTTCAGGTGTCAATCGTCCATAAAACCTTTCTTTCCTTTTCACACTGTTTTCTGTGTTGTTTACAAAGTCTGCCAACTCAGGCTATCATTGGTTTATCACCTCAACTGCCAACTGTATATTATCATACTTCCATATCAATGGTGAACTTAACCTCTGTCCCTACTGGTCCGCAACCAGGGCCAGGCACCTGCTAGGTCATGGCGCTGATGTAGGGCTTACAGGATAGTTGCCTGGTCGCGAACTTCAGTGACAGCCTGGCTGGTGACTTTCTGCCACAGCCACTTTAGGGCCGCTAAGGCCTAGAAGCCTCCCACTTAAATTTAGTACCCAAGAATCTAGGGATCCATTGGGTTCAATGAGCTAATGTTGATGTTGTAGAAATATCTGAGAAACAATCACTCATGATGCCAGTGGGGTGGAATTTGGTGACTGACAAGCGGGGAGGGATGAGTGAGCAGCCTTTTATTCAACTGTTCACTATACCTTGCCGATTATGTGGACCTGAGCTGGCCATCCTCGTTGAAGAGCCGCCTCTAAAGTTGTGTCATCACTTCCCTCCAGCAGGGAAGACACATACCTGATTCATTTCACAATTGAAAAAAACAAGAATATCAGTGAAAATGATCAGGCATACTCATTCCGTGCCATTCATTTAAATTATTTTGGCAAAGTATGTAGTATGTACCTTGAATATTGGATGCATGTTTGCAGTAAAGAAACAAGCCCTCTAAGATTTCCCAGTGCATATCAATCTGCAGGTCTGGATGGGGCAGTGAGGTCTTGGCTCGGTAAATTTTGCATAATGACATGGTCATCCAGAGGGCTTTCACAAATAAGGATAAAGTCATCCAAATACCCAAATAGAACACCTATGTGCTCTACTTCGGAAAAGAATGCACGTGGAGTAAGTGCAGGGTTCTAACTAGGAGCCTGTGCACTGCGTGCCGCCGTGCATGTCAATCATTTACTGTCAAAGCAAAGGATAAGAAAAATAGAATCTTCCCCAGTTATTAGACAGCTTAATCTAATTAGTTAGGCCTATCTGCCTTGCAGTCACTCCACTACGCATGTCAGTCCTGCATCAGTACTTGGACTGACACACATACAAGTTCACAAAATTTACCAAGGAACCAGTCGATGACTCTCTTCTGGTATCACTGCTGCAGTTCAAGAGAGAGTCGAAGTAACATGGTAGTGTGTGGTGCTGCATGCGAACAAACTTGAACAAAGTGATAGTAGGTGATTGTGCAGTATTTACAGTGTTACCCAACAACTGCTCAGATCACCAAATTTTGAAAATTAGCAGTTGATCTTTTATAACGAGGTGCTATATTTGAGTGATGATTTTGAGCCTGGGTTCTGATAAACCCAAAAAACAAATTGGAAGGCCTAAAACACACCCCCTGCCAGACTATCAAAACCAGGGTCCTGAAGACCCATTAAAAACTGTTCACAGTAGAGGACAGACTATTCCTATGCTGTCCTATGCTCGGGATCAACAATCGCCACAGTCACAGTGACACATTGTGCTGCAGCACAAACCTGCAGGTAGGACACATCAGGTTAAAATAACAACTAATAGCCGTAAAGGACCGTGATGACATATCATTGTATGGCTCAAGGTGTTCTAGAAAAAGCAGAACATTTCACTTACCCTAGGAGGGCATCAAACCAGACGTAAATTGTCTGCTTTGGATCAACTGGAACAGGAATCCCCCAGTCCACTGCACGGGAGATTGAGAAATCTTTCACACCTTCCTTCACCCATGTTAGTACCTGCAACAAAACCAACGATGCATGGGGTTTAAACCTGAATGCTGTTCTGTGCAGCCAGATGCAACTGTACTGAATAGATCATAGATAGGTGAAAGAACAAAACAGCAACAGTGGTTGGACTTTGAACTCTCCATTGTCTTCAATGGTTTCCAACGACTCTATGCAACACTGCACAAAACCAAGGATGCACGGGGTCCAAGTCTGAATGCTACTCTATGCAGCCAAATGCAACTGTACCATACTTGCAACCGCACCGTGTGCCGCACGGCAGCGTGTGGTGCGGCACCTGCTCGTGCAAGGTACCAGCCGCAGTTTCCCTTTTTTTGTCTTTTTTTTGCTGTTTTTGTAGATACAGAAGAGTGCAACACCTAAAGAACTGATCTTTTTCAAGTACAGTCATGCAGATTTTTCTTTCTGTCCAATTGGGCACGCAATGAACCTCGCAAGATTCAACTCAAAATACAACATGCAATTGAGAACATTCAGATGACGTTCACACAAGCTTGAGTGGTTTCCATGAACAGTGCAAATTCGAAGTTCCACTCAGAGCACAATAACATACACTTGAAAAAGTTTGGGAATAAGCGGTTTCAACCGCTGCAACACTCCTCAGGTATGTACCTGACTCCCTCCTGCTTCTCCTTCTTCTCTCTCTCTCTCTCTATATATATATATATATTGTCACATCACTACAAACTAAAAGAGCGCACTTTGCGGAACAAAGAATAAAAGCAAAAAACGGGCACAGTGATAACATGCAAAAATAAA